TTTTCTTTGACACAATGTCATTTAGTCATTATTAATATTTATTTCATAATTATACTATTGGTTCTGATATTGTATAAACAAAAACGCGTAAAAAGCACCATTTTTATGCTTACCGCGGTTATGGTTTTAGTCCATTGACGTTTAACGAAAAAGTTATATCTGAAAAATACCGACATAAATAATTTAATAATGGAGGAAAATCCAAAATATAACAGAGTATAGTATAAACGACAAAAAAGTATATCAACAAAAAAGTTCCGTATAATTAATTCCGACAGCTCGTATGAATTGGCAAATACGTAAAGATGTAGCGAAGTCGTTTGACTTTTGTCCCAAAACTACGGTTCTAGTTTACGAATTATGATCGCCTTTTGTTGCTACTTTAATAATATTACAAAAGCACTGAACCAAAGTCCACTTGTAATAAACTACAATTAATTATATAAAGTGAAATAAAATAAAATTATATATAGTGTTAAAATGTTAGGAGAATACAGTAATCGTCTCAGGACTAATATCGAGTAAGGAAGAGCGTAGTAGTGAGGTTAGGAGATAGGGCACTGACATTAATGGAGCGACAACGACTCCACATTAACCTATAAATAAGATCTAGATCCACTCTATGTTGGTTGTACTCCGTATTCGTATTTTTTTGTTTTAATTTTAAAATGGTCTCAAGTCAAATGTTGGGTTGAGATCCACGACACATGGTTATGTGACTGTGGAACAAATTTTGACTTATCGTTTGTTGAATTTGGTCTTAACAAGATTAGATTAATCAACTACATACTACCAAATTGCTTTGTGCAATACAGATCATCTAGCTTCTTTAACTTCTAAGTGTGTTTGAAAAAAAAAAAAACTTAATATAGTAAAATCTGATAAAAAGGCTTTTGGTCTTCCATTTTTAAAGAAACTGACGATATGATTTCAATCCGTATGATAGCAAATCATAAGGGTTATAAACCTCGGCAATGGAGTGTAGCCAAGTCGATACATCAGATGGAATGGAACGTAGTGAAAAAGTAACTTTATTTGCGTTTTATCTTTTATAAGTACGTAACTTTTTGTAATGTTTGGATCGTTTTGTCTCCACTATATATTTGTTTTATTCTTTGAGTTGTCATCATATACATCTCTTCCTTCCTCTCATTACGTCTTCATAAAACTTCCACAATATTATTTTGTAAAATCATAAAGAACAATTAAATCTGATCTTCTATGATATATTATCATTCATTTTTTACTCTCGTGTCACTTTTTGTTTTTGTTTGTTAAATTAACCTTCTCATGTATTAATATTTCACTCTTAGAAAGTTATATGCATACATATGGAACGTATACAATATTCCTCGGTCAGTCGACGTCTTCGTCGGTTGATTCAAAGTTTAAAACGACTATGTCGGTGTGTCTATTCCATCTCATAAGTTTTTTTAAAGCACAGAAAAAAATAAGTCGCATGTGACGACTTGAATCAAAAATAAATCTTTAATTTCTTGATTACTGACTAAACAAAATTCATTAACAATTTCGAGTCCCCCGGTGGTCTAAATTTAGCTACTCTTTAATTATTATAAATCAATCATTATCATACGTATATGTTTTCTTTCTTAATTATCAAAGCTGTATGATTTCTCGTTGTTGGTTTTGTTCAGCCCCAAATCTTTTTCCTCAACCATGAAATCAAATTTATAACAATGAAAAGAGTCGGCATAACATAATCCTGGTAAAGCTAATACTATATATTGTAATGATAATCAACGCTATCTATAAATATAACAGATGCTTAGATTCATAATCTCTAAAACGCCAGTCACTGTTCCATTCTTTGACCTAATGGACAAAAGTGAAAAGTACATACAATGTAGAATTCCAAAATTAAATTTTCTATCACACGATCATCACGTGTTTTAGATCCACAAAGCCAAAATTGTGGTCTGTATACACACACAACAACACAGTTACAGGTCGATAAAGAAAATCCAAAAGATACATTGCACGTCGCATAAAAACTTACATAATCATATGTATAAGTAAATGCCATTTTATCTGCAAATTTCCAAAGATCTCTTAATTAAGTACTCTTTAGTTAACTACCATTTCAAATTCTGTTTTTGTTTTGTGTGCATATAAAGTTTTGACTGTATAGAATTTTTTTTGCATACTATAATGTGGGGAAATAGTTAAAAACATCACATGTGAAACAAAATTAACGATCCGTGAAGTTTTATTTGTCACGGTCCGCCACAACACAAGAAACTCGAACACCGTGCACTCAAAGACTTATCCACGGTTTTATTATTATCCTTGTACCCAAACATACTCCTTCGTAATCCTCTGTGTACGATTTGCATACACCGTCACAATATGCCACGTCGGATAAATGGAGCCACCGACATATTACCGCGTTTCAAAAAAGGTGGGACCCACTCCCTACTCCCCGTTTCATCTATTTTTATTTCTCAAACAGAAAACAAATCTATATTTCTTCGGTTTTTATTTCTTTATTCACACATATATATATATATATATATATATGGTGATGCGCACTGATCCAATAAATTCTGTTCAGACATAAGAATGCAAGAACGAATAATTATTTTGAGATAATCACTAATCATTTTTTAATCACATGCAATTTTCTTGAATTTACTACTACAGTTTGTTCTTTAAAAATGAAAATTTCATACTGACTAAAAAACAATTGTAGCATAATACACGCACTGTATCTATACACCAAAAATTAGACTAGTATTGATTTACTAATTTATTTCAAAAAAAATCTTTTAATTTTGACAAATTTATAATTGATTATATTAATATTACGAGTAATTTATAAAAAAAAAATTAACTTTGTTAAGCAATCTTTTTGGCTGATAAGAAAACTTTAATGATTAGTTCTCGCATTTATGAGCTAAAAGTGATTATAACTATGGGTCTAACGTGTATTTTTCTTTTTGCGTCTGAATAAACTGGTTTAGTTTTAAATGGCTGTTGTTATAGTTAACAACTTTTTAAAAAATCCATCACATATGAATTGTTTTATGAATTTTAATGTGCATGCATGTTCAAAAAGTTTCAGCCTTTTGATGTACATTGTACATCTCGTTTTACCCAAAAAGTCAGTATTGGCTGTATTGGTAACAAGTAAAAACTGCATGTGTTTTACTTATCTCTCTTCGTTTGTTTTGTAAGTAGAAGAATCATACATTTCCCCAAACCACAATAAGATTATAAATATTGAAGGAAGGGTACCTGGTACTGTGTCTGTTTGCATATTGGAAATTTGTGAAGCAACCTGATCCCGTTCTCTACCATAGGATTTAATTCAAGGTTAGCGACAAAACGGAAAGGGGTTGCTGTGGGGAATACTCTCTATAGTCTAGTTAAACTCTAAACTATATACAAAGAAAAGTATGGCTAGTTTTGTGTTACAATATTGATCATCCAAGCTATATACATTATTGTAGCTGATGATTTGTATTATAGTCTTATACGATGATATTCATATTTTACGTTTATTTTAATGATTAGTTGTTTTATGCGATGTTATGTCAAATCATCCCCTAGTATCTTTCTATTTGATAAGTACAAACATATACCAACAAAAAGGAATTGCAAAAGTATCACCATCCTCTCCAACTTTGTTTACGTACATGCAGATTTTATAATCCTACTAAATAAATATACATGAGTCCCATGCATGAAACAAGTCACTCAGTCACTCTCGTCTATAAATACCGTATATAAAAGAAACTTTCAAATGAAAAGTTTGTATACAGAATACTTATTCGATCAAATAAAAAGTAAAATAAAAATATCTAGGAAAATATATATATCGTGATCAGTGGAATTTTGAAAAGTAGAAATATGTGCCTCGTATCGCCACAATTTTTAACCTTATCGTGGTTGGCGTGTACAAGTGGGCAACTGGTCTCCTAATAATGCGTTTGGTAATAAATGATACGTGAGTTTTTATAGATTTCTTCTTCTTTCTGAAAACAGTAGTTTCTGTTCTGGATATAAGAGGATAACCAAATCGAAGACATGCTTATCATTTTGTTTTCTCTACGAAAAATACTGAGCTCTCTAATTAAGCACATATATATTAATATATATATATATATATATAAACTCGTACTTAATTAATTAATTACCCGAAGAATCAAGAAATTATAAACCAGAAAAGGGAGTCGTATTCTTTTTGAAAGGAACTTGGCCTAAACCGACCATTATGTTTTGCTACCTCATGGAATTGATATAATGTGTTTTGTCGAACACTCCCAAATTTTTGAAGAATAATCTACAAAGTCAACATTTTACACATTCAGATCTGCATCTAAATCACCATTATTAACTCTTTCTTAATCATTCCCGTAAAAAAAAAAAAACATTAACTACCGACAAAAAAAACCTTAGAAAATAAAATTCTTAATATGTTTTTTTTTATCTACCAGTCCAATTATATACAGTATAGCGACTTCTATATAAGGGATAACAGTAGTATTAATTAGTGAGCATTTTTCTGATTTATTTATATATTTTGTCAACTACTAAGCATCTCCTTCTCTAATTTTTCAGTCGAGATTACTGAAACTGGATTAAAGGAGTCAATAAATATATCTTGTTTTTATGCACCGCCATGAAGATGAAGAGAGAGAGAGAGAGAAAGGTCAAAACATAATTTAAAATAAAACAAAAAATAAAACAGAGAGTTAAATACGATCGATCATAGTAATTAGAGACATCTAGCAATGGGAAGCTTCTCTTCTTTTTTTCCCTTAAATACGCTCTCACAACCAAACAAATTTCCTTTTTTTTTTTAATAAACAAAAAGTATATACAGTATAAATACACAGAGAGAAAAAGAGATTTTTCATTATTTATTCACAGAGGGCTATAGAGAGAGTTTTAAAAATTCCACTAATTTTTCCTCTCTCTCTTAATTATCGTTTTCTTTTGTTTTTATGCCAAAAAAAAAAAAGAAAAAGAAGAGAATGGTAATGTAACGGAGCTTGCCAACGGAAGTGTTTCTTTATTCATCATATAAACATATTTTTTGGGTTATTGTTAAAAATTTATTTGAGTTCAGTTCTCACGAGCTGTGTCGAGATTTGGATCCATACAAAATCTCCACGACGCTGCTGCTTCACTCTCTCTCTCTCTCTCTCTCTCTCTCTCTCTCTCTCTCTCTCTCTCTCTCTCTCTCTCTCTCTCCCACTGTTTCAGCTTCAAGTCTTTACAAGTATAGTCACAGAGATTAAAAGAGAAGACAAGCCAACAAGATTGAACAAGACAATCTGATTTCGGATTTCCTTGACGGGTATTGAGATTTTTAATCGTCCTTCTGTAAATACAAGTGCGTATTCTTCAACACCAACAACACTACTGCAAGGGGGGCAAAAAAAAAGGTTTTTCTTTTTCTCACTCTCTTTTACTCGTTCGTGTCGGATTCATCTTTCTTGATTTGATTCGATTGGGTGTTTCTTCCCCTGATTTCTGGATTAATCTGGGGGTTCTTTTTCTCCATTTTTTCTGGGTTGTCGTTCGATTTCGATTTGCTTAATCTTATCAAAAGTCGAAAATTTTAAGTTACTGAGATTTGTCAAATCTGATTCTGATTCCATGTGTGTTCAAGAAGTTTACCATTTCATCTCTCTCTCTCTCTCTACTCAGAATTCGTGGATCTGCTTATGCAAAATTGGAAAATTTCTAAGTCTTACTTGTTTTGTTAGAAACGCGTGATCTCAAGTTGCTGAGATCTCTGATTGTAATATTGTATTCAGCTCTATCTTATATTTATCCTAAAGCTTCAATTTTTGTTTTTTTTTTTAATCTTCCAGCTTCTAATCTCTCTGATACGACTTGAACTGGTTTTTTGTTATTACAGGGATCTTAGATTTATAGCAAGAGAATAAAATGTCAATGCCACTACAACGTGGCATCTCTGGAGTACGAGTTTCTGATAGCAGTGATGATTTGAGAGACTCTCAAATGAAAGACAAAACTGATAAAGAAGATTTGGCTCGAGGTCGTTCTACGGAATCCCACTTAACCTTGAGGTTTCCTTTTGCTTTCCTCTTTAGTAATCACTCTTCTTCCAAACATGGCGGCGAAAACGGCTTCCCTGCTGATCCGTATAGTGCAAGGAGTAGACACAGATTGATGCTCATGTTTCTTAAGATCAGTTTGGTTCTTATTGTCGTTGTTGCCCTAGCTGGATCTTTCTGGTGGACCATTTCTATTTCGACTTCATCCAGAGGTCATGTATATCACAACTATAGGAGACTACAGGAGCAGCTTGTTTCAGACTTATTGGATATTGAGGAGATTTCTCTTGGTCCTAATAGGTGGAAGGAGCTGGAATATTGTAATATAGAATCTGAGAATTTTGTTCCTTGCTTTAATGTTTCTGAGAATCTTGCTCTGGGTTACTCCAATGGTGATGAAGCTGATCGCTTTTGTGGCCCTGGATCAAAGCAAGAATGTTTAGTTTTGCCACCCGTGAAATATCGTGTTCCTCTTAGGTGGCCCACTGGTAAAGATGTCATCTGGTATTCTAATGTTAAAATTACTGCTCAAGAAGTTGTGTCTTCTGGTAGCATAACCAAGAGGTGAGGGATTGTTGCTTCTTTGGTCTCTCTTGCTAAACTTGACTAGTTCCATTGCTCAGCCTCGCTTCTGCCTTTTTGTCTTTTCCAGGATGATGATGATGGAAGACGACCAGATATCTTTCCGGTCAGCATCTCCTATGTCTGATGAGGTTGAAGACTATTCCCATCAGATCGCTGAAATGATCGGGATTAAGAAGGATAACTTCATAGAAGCTGGTGTAAGTCACACATTCAAAAGAGTTAAACCTTTATCTCTTTCATCTGTTCAGTTTTTTTATTTGCTATTTTCCTTGATATTGTTTCAGGTGAGAACTATCTTGGATATTGGGTGTGGTTATGGTAGCTTTGGGGCACATCTACTGTCCAAACAGATTTTAACCATGTGCATAGCAAACTATGAAGCGTCGGGTAGCCAAGTTCAGCTAACACTCGAAAGGGGTCTCCCTGCGATGATTGGTTCTTTTATATCAAAGCAATTGCCATATCCTTCTCTTTCCTTTGACATGTTGCATTGCTTAAGATGTGGCATTGATTGGGACCAGAAAGGTAACAATTTAACGACACCCCAGAATGATTTTTCTCATGTCTTAACCAGATGGAGGACTGAACTTTGCTGTTTTAATCTGCTGTGTAGATGGGCTTCTCCTTGTAGAAATCGATAGGGTTCTCAAACCCGGTGGTTACTTTGTATGGACATCTCCACTCACAAACCCTCGTAACAAGGATCATCTTAAAAGATGGAACTTTGTTCATGATTTTGCTGAAAGCATCTGTTGGAAACTTTTATCTCAGCAAGACGAGACAGTTGTTTGGAAAAAAACAATCAAAACCAAATGTTACAGTTCTCGGTCAGTGACACACACACACTAGAATTGTATTTCAGAACCTGTATGAGCTACATACATATTGCTATCTATCAAGTCTTCTTAGAATGAATGCTTTGCCTATAAACAGGAAACCTGGGGTGGGACCTTCTGTATGTACCAAAGGGCACGACGTTGAGTCTCCTTATTACAGGCCGCTTCAGATGTGTATTGGTGGAACACGAAGCCGGAGGTGGGTTCCCATTGAAGGCAGGACAAGATGGCCTAGCCGGTTTCATATGAACAAGACTGAACTTTCATTATATGGTTAGTCTCCTTGGTTACAGTTGCTTCTGAATCCATATTGTCGGCAGTTTTTGTTTTCTCATATTTGATTTTGGGGTTGGTTCAGGTCTTCACCCTGAGGTGCTTGGAGAGGATGCTGAGAACTGGAAAATAACAGTAAGAGAATACTGGTCTCTCTTGTCTCCCCTGATATTCTCTGATCATCCCAAGAGACCTGGCGATGAAGATCCATCACCGCCTTATAACATGCTCAGAAACGTATTAGATATGAATGCTCAATACGGTGGTCTCAATTCCGCATTGCTGGAAGCAAGGAAATCAGTATGGGTCATGAACGTGGTCCCTACAGCTGGACCTAACCACCTCCCCATGATCCTTGACCGTGGCTTTGTCGGAGTGCTGCATGACTGGTGAGTCCAAAAGTCAGTTGGAAGAAACAAAACTGGTCATGAATGTTTCTGAACATGAACATGTCTTTTTCTTCAGGTGTGAGCCATTCCCGACGTACCCGAGAACATATGATCTGGTGCACGCAGACAATCTCTTGTCGCTTCAGACAAGTCAGCGCCGAAAAGGATGTTCACTTCTTGATATGTTCACAGAGATTGACCGATTGCTTCGTCCAGAGGTACACAATTTGTTAACTTTGAAAAGAAGAACATTATAGTTCTTGAGGGTTCTGCTGTAGCGATAACGAAAACTTTGGTGCAGGGATGGGTGATAATCCGTGACACGACGCTTCTGGTGGAAAAGGCGAGAGCGTTGGTAACGCAGTTGAAGTGGGAGGCTCGAGTAATAGAGGTTGAAAGCAGCAGTGACCAGAGACTTCTCATCTGCCAAAAACCTTTGACCAAAAGACAACAATCAATCTGAAGAAGAACATAGACACAGGTTTTTCTCCACTATTTAAAATTTTTTGTTCCAAGCCTCACATTTTTGGAATCAATCAAATCCTCCAAACTGTGTTGGCGATACGGGGAAGAAAGGAGAAAGAGATGAAAATATATCCCGCCGGGGACGTAAGACCACCGGTGAAATTTCTTTATCTGGTTTCGTGAGTTTCCCATTTTACAGAATCTTAGATATATTTTTTTTCTTTCTTATATGGCTTTGGTTCTACAACTTTTATTATACAAAAAAGAATATGATTCATATTTGTGAAGATGTTTATGAAATAAGTTGAAAGCTTCTACTAAATCTTCACTACTTGGTTCGTTTGTTAACCGAATCCGATATATTTTAATCGAAACAGTGTACCGTACCGGAAGTGAAAGTATACTCTTGTCAAACCCGAGATTAGTTACGATTAAATCGTATTTCTGGTTAAGAATTAAGAATCTCCGAAATTAAGTTGAACCGGATCAACTCAAAAAAGGGTAAATCAGAATGAAACCGAACCGGAAACATAAGCGTTAGAAACACACAGATTCTCCCATGAGAAACAGAGGTCGATAATTCAAAGAATAGAGATGACTTTGTTTGAGCTTGAAGATGGAGAACATTAAATGGTGGTATGGTGGAGATCTTTTTACGTTGGCCAATTCATAAGTTCCATACAAAAAAAATTGAGATTTTCAATGCGATGGTGTCTCTGCAGCTGAAGTTTTTCTTAGCTGATGTTGGCTTCTGCTTTTGGATCCACGTCCCTTTCCAGTGTGGCCTCGGTGGTGAGCGCTAGGGGAGGCTGATCCCACAACTTTCTTGGTGGATGTTCTTTTGCGTCGGTGGTGCAGAGAATCTCCGCCACCAAACGCAGCTCTCGCTACACTATCTTTAAGAACTTCCCGAGCTCGTTGTGGCTTAATGAGCTGCTTGTTAAGATACACTAGCTTGGGAAGAAGGCTGGAGACAGTCTTTCGCAGCTGGTCCTCACCTACGTTGTTCTGAATCGGGTTTCCAAGGATGTTCAGAGCGACTAGAGAGTTGTAGTTGGCAACGAGCTGGCCTATTGCTTTGGTGGTGGCGATCTTGTTGAAGCTAAGATCGAGAACAATGAGTTTCAGTAGTCTGTGCAAGCCTTCTACATTGCTGATCTTGTTCCCCGCGAGGTATAGTTCTTTGATCAGTGTGCAGTTTGATAAACCTGATCAACAGCTTTTGGTTAAGACAGGTAAAGCAAACAAGCATTTTGTAAATTCTGCTTAATGACTGCAATTTTACCTTGTCCGATGCGCGAAATACGATTGTAACTTAGATCGAGTACTCTTAGGCGTGACAAATCTCTCAGTCCTTCTATAACACTGATCTTGTTCTTGGACAGGTTCAACGCGTGAAGGCCCCTTGGTAGCGATGCAGGAGTAATTTGAACTGCAATGAACAATGATTAGTAAGCATCACACACACACACACTTTGTAAATCTTTTAACCAAGAGAGTCTACCTATGAAGTTGTTAGATAGGTCAATCGACTTGAGGCTAGTGAAATGTGAGATGCTTGGGATCGCTTTCAAGCCTATGCTCGAGATGTGAGCCACGCTCGAGGATTTGCTCAGCGATTGGATTAGGCTATTTGCATGCACTATCTCTTCTGCGACATTTCCGGAATGAGCCATATTTCTTGAGGGTGATCTCTCGGTATTAGGAGAGGTTTGTAAGCTGGCCAAGACATCCTTATCCTCGGTTACTGAAACTGCGGTTTCGACAGCGAGGCCTTTTACCCACTCGTCTACTCGCTTCATTGAAGAGGATTCCGCAGAGAACGCTACCCACTGATTATGACGAGGCCATAAGTTTGATGGCTGGTTGGTGAACTCAGCACAATTGTTTGTAGATTCGTCATGGCTAGATTGGTTGTGCTCAGCAAAGTCAGAGGTATATCCAGACTGATGGTTCTTGTTCAAAGGTTGTGACTTTAGCGAAACACGATGTTTGTGAAGGTTCCTATGGCTCCATAGGAACAGTTTCCACCAGAGCCGCCGGCTCCCAGAGGGAAGTATCTGCATCGACGAGTGTTTCTTGAGCATCACTCTATCTGCACTTCTATGAGACCTCACTGATTCAGAACCAACTGGAACGGTCTCTCTCAGGTCATGGAGATCAGAACCTTGGAACCGGCCATTGAACTTGCTAAGAGTGGAGCAGGATCGTTTAAGCTTAGGAGAAGTCACCCAAGCCGTGGCTCTGCCTAATCCTGGATCGCTAACGTGTCCATCTTCGTCGTCGTCGTCATCATCACCATTCTCAGAAGTATCTGTAACTTCCTTAACAATCTCCTTGGTTTTAAGAGATTTAGGAAACTCACGGTTCGTTGAATCCTTGTCGTCGCGTTCATCTTCGCCATCATATGTCTCGTTCTTGGTAGAACTGTCCTTGTCGTAGGTTGCGATGTTAGGCTCATCATTGTCCAGAGGCTTCACTGGCTCCTCATGAAGTCTGATCTGAAGGAGTCTCTGTGTTTTCGGTGGCAGAGGCTTTGAATTCCCCTGTTTAAAGTCAACGGAACGAGTTCAACGCAAAATCCAATTCACCGGAAAAAAAGTGACAAGAATATTGTAAATACGTTACCTTATTTTTCTTTCTACGGATCAATCCAGCAAAGCATGGGAAAACCTTCATTGTTTTGTGGCAAATAAAAAATAAAATCAGCCGTAATCTATTGGAAGTTGCGAGAGCACCAAAACGATGAATATAGAAGAAGGAGAAATAATGCCGGAAAAAAAGGAAACACTTCTTGATCCGACCAACGCCGAACCCGCGTATGTGTCGGCCAGAGTTAAAGATCGCCTTACTTGTTTCTGTTTCACCAATACAAACGAGACCACAGCCACTAAACAGAGAATAAGAAGAAGAAGAGAACAGAAGGATAGACGAAGGAAGAGAGAAGACTGAGATGGACGGGTTAATGACAGAACATGCAAGAGAGCCACATGTGACTAAATCTATGGTGTTTTCGTTAACTCTTAAAGACAGAGATAAAGATGTGTGTATACGTATTTATATAATTCCTTGTTCACTTTCAATTTTCAACCAATAAAATTATAATTTTATTATTTATTTTCCTTTTTGTTTGTAAAGTCTTAATGTACTCGAAGTCCTATAAGATTATTATTTATTTTCCTTTTATTTGTAAAAGTTTAAAGTATTCCAAGTCCTAAAAGAAAAATGTATTCTAAAGTCCATGTGTATTTTATGCATTTAGGATTAGGAAGGGACTAGCTAAGTATGAATCCGCGGCTAATACACGGAGTTCTTATAAAAAAAAAATATTCCGTATAACAACAATAATGTTAGAATAATAATCGCAAATGCATTGAGGAAACATGATTAGTTGGTGAGCAAAAATATGCAGATGTTTCTAGTTTATGGTAATGCGTTCGTTAATCAGTGTTTTTTAAAAACTTTGAACATTAAATGCGAACATCTCTTTTATGTTAAAGATTTCGAGGTTATCTAATTGCATATCTTTGGATTAATTAATATACACTGTGTGTATATATATATAAAAGGATAAAAACAAATATTTTTTTTTACTTTATACTCCATTTTATTACAAAATTTACAAGCATTAATAGATATGTATGTGCTGAAAGATTTGGAAATAAATTCTCATGGATTTGAAGTGTAAACTTTTAATTAGGTACTAAAATCCAACACTATCATCACATCTAAAAATGATAAAATTCCTATACGTTAGAGTTTTAGAATATTCGTATTTCCTTTTTATTAATAAAATGAAAGTTATACTTTATCCTAATAATAAGGTAGAGAAATCAAAATCAAATTTTATATATGTATATATTTTTTTTGTATTTGTTTGTGTGTTGATAGAGAGAGAGTCTAAAGAAAAAGACGAACAAATGAAGAGAGAAGAGAAACAAGAGAAGGTGAAAGCATCAGGTCCGGTTTTGTTGCGTCCGGTAGCCGCAAGTAACTGCGACCATCGAAGTCTCTCCTACTTTTGTAGTCCACCCAATCTCTCATATGGACTCTGCCAGTCTCCCAAGTCCCACCCAATCTCATACTCAGCCGTCGATGTCAGATATGTAATGGGTTCCACGCAGCTGTTCTGATGACGTGGTTAGATATCAATGGTCGAGACTATATCCAAGTGATGGTCCCTTATGTCGTGTCACATGCTCCTGACGGACCAAAACACTCCAAATCAGTTTAGAAACAAAAAAGTTATAAAAAAAAACTACAACAACTCACACATGACAGTATATTATCCCACCGCATTATTGCAATAATACAAACTACTAACTAATGAAGTTAATGATATAAACGTACGACTACTGTAATTTACATCACGCTTAATGAAATGGAATCACGCTTAATGAAATGGAAAAAAAATCAGGTTCTAACTAAAATATATATATATAACTCCATAATTGTACGAGGACAAAAGAATAAGATATCTGATACATTATTTAGAATTTTAGTGCTTTTTCCTTGAGGGAAAATGACATTTCCTTTTCGTTTCTAGGATTCCCCTTTCACTTTCTTACGAACAAAAAACAAAAATTATATATGAAACTTGGCTCTTTACACAAACTATATTCAAAACAAATCGAAAGGGTAGGTTGTAAGAGAAAACATACAAAGTGAGACGTCACGTAACGTTAGCGATATAAGAGTTTATAAACATGTTGTCCTTGTTTTCAATTATACGTGTCGTTTACAAGTTGCGTTAACATACTCCATGAAACATTTTGTTATGTTATAACCTCCACATATATAAATCTTATTTATTAGATAATCTGGTGTTGTACTTTGTATCATATTTCGCTTGATTAATAAAACTCCAGTTGACAAAAAAAAAAAGAAGATAATCTGGAGAATTGACGCAACATACTAATATACTTTTCGGACGACTTCCCCCAACAATTTGTTACAAATATATAGAAGACTAGTTAAAACGGTGTCACACAGAGTTGAGAAAGCATTATGATATTGTTAATCTGAAACGCTATTTTATACAATCGTTTCTCGTTCGGCCGAGAGTGGGTGACTGAAACGGTGTCACACAGAGTTGAGAAAGCATTATGATATTTGTTAATCTCATCTTATTGGGTCATATGTTTGGGCTTTTAAAACCCCAAATTATAGTGCAGGTGTATTGACTTATCCACTCATTTTTACTTGTGCCCATATTCAAGCCTTAATAAGTAAGATTATTTATTTTTACTTTTTTTTATTGCTAAGAATTAATTAAATAAGATTAGTTTCTTTTGCATCCTATCTTATTATATTTTTCTATATATTTCCGTTTACATTTTTGGAAACACATATCTAGATATATTAAATTTAAAATTTAATTAGTAAAAAAATGTAGATATATTTTTCATTTTATAAAACAACACCTCTCTATATCTTTCATTGCTTTTCCTTTTTAACCAACTTATTATTATTTTTTTCAATCCTTTATTACAATCTTAGTTGTATTTTATTTTATTTTAGTCTAGTACATTTTTATCAACTAATAAACAAAATCTACACAATCTACAACCATATATTACATTTCTATCAAAGCATCCCTTGATTCTTCACATAAGAAACAAAGTCCGTGAAAAATAGGAGATTGTCGAAGTTATGAAAAATGAGAGAGAAAAACTTATTTATTTGGCTAAGCTCGCCTGCAAAGCTGAAAGATATGATGGTATGTATATACATGTCCTCACATATTTGCCCTTTCCAAACTGATAGTTGTTTTGATTTATTTCAAAACTACTGAAAATTTTATGTGGTTAAATTATATCATATTGGTGTATGTTTTTTTTCATGTTGTCAATGGTTTGTTAAGTTTGTCTTAAAGCAAAAACTTATTTTGATTCAAATCGTCTGATAATTACAAAAGATGTTACTTCTGTCATTGTATTACTCTTGCATACAACGAAATCATATAGTTCGTTATGTCATACATGTATGTTCTCGTAACTTAATTGAGAGTAGTATTTGATAAAAAAAAATAAAAAAGAGTAGTATAGTATTGATTCTTTTTTCAATTTAAATTGTCGTGGTATAGATGTGATGAAAGCGATGAGAAAAGTGTGTGAGCATGATAAAGAGCTAAGCGAAGAGGAGATATTTCTATTGAAAACTGGGTACAAGAATGTGATGGAGACTAAGAGAGCTTCATTGAGAGTAATATCATCCATTGCAAAAATAGAAGCCGAGAAAGGAAACGACCAAAAAGTGAAAATAATCAAAGAAAAACAAGAAATGGTTAAAGATGAATTTTTCAATGTTTGTAATGACATTTTGTTTCTCATTGATGCTCATCTCATTCCATCAACTACCAATGTGGAATCAACTGTCTTTTTTTACAGAATGTAAGTTCCAAAACCATCATCATCATCTTCTACTCCTTTTTTTATTTGGTTATCTATTTGTTAGTTTTATTTTTGGTATATGTAGGAAAGGAGATTATTTTCGATATATGGGAGAGTTTGGTTCTGATGCTGAAAGTGAAGAAATTGCTGACGGTTCTCTTGAGGCATATAAGGTACTCCTCATTCAACCATGTTTTTTTTCCTCCTCAACTTTGATATTTTGTTTGTTGATTGTGTTTCTTTGTATATATAGAGATTTTGGAAAAGAGATGAAAGTGATATTTACTTTGTAGGTTGCAATGGAAATGGCAGAGAATAGTTTAGAACCCACCAATTTGGTTAGACTTGGGTTGGCTTTGAACTTCTCGGTTTTCACTTATGCGATTCTTAATTCCACTGAAAGGTAATATAAATTAAGAGCTGTATTATAGAAAATCCCATCATGAAAAATTATGTACATATTAGTTTTTATATTTATTTTTTATTGATTTTTAATTTTGAAAAGCATAAGTTCTTAGAGTTGAATAATAGTAGTAATATAACCACTTGAATATACAGAGCATGTAAATTGGCTAAACAAGCTTATGCAGAAGCAATTGCCGAATTCGATGGCCTTGACAAGGAAAAATACGAAGAGAGCATATTTATCATAGATATGCTGAAATATAATCTTTCTGTGTGGTCGTTAGACAAAGCTTTTGATAATGAAATCCCGAAAAACAAGAAAGACGATTAGAACATGTCTTTTGGGACTATGAAGTTTGATATGAGATTATTATTAGACTCATAGCTTGTGTTAATAAGGTTTGATATTTGTATACAGAACTAATTTTAAGAGTCTTCTTATTAACAACAACTCATATAAACTCAAATAAATCATTGCTGCTTTGTATATATGTTTTTAAAGTCTCCTCCTATATATATTTGCTTTTGAGTTGGCTTCAAAATATGTTTTTACATCATATTTAAAATGTCGAACACGTAATGCATTGGGTTATATTATTAACTTAGACAATGAAATCTGACGATAGACAAAGTTTTACATCTAGAATACTGTAGTAATAACTAATAGGTTAGCTACCAACATTATCTACCAATTTGGTTTTTTAATTGGTTGTCCTTGTAACGTGTCCAAAACTTTAATGAAAATTAGGTTTTATCCATTGACATACATATAATTCAAATAATTGTGTGAAAAAGTATGTATCTTCTTCTTGTTCTTGTTCTAGAGAGTATTGGCAGATTCAAGATCTGTGCAAACTTTGACAAAGAAAAGACTCTCTTATAACCAAATTTGACAAAAGCTTTCTTCTGTCGTTAAGCAAAGTCTATATTTGGGGCTTGACAACATCTTGGGCTCAGTCTAATACTTTTAAGGGTATTGAAAATGAAGTTGGCCTTTGTACTCGAATTTAATTCCCCAACCTACTACACACTGTCGCAACCTTATTATTGTTGACACTAAAGACTTAACCCCCACGTGCCTCTCGATATCGAGGATACAAAGATTTTTGTAAAACATTGATAGCCATCTGCATCTACTTTTTCTCACAAATATTCATAATTTGTATTCGATTGTACCCACCAAACTAACCCTCTCCAATCTCTTTTTTTTTTTTTTTTTTTTTTTTTTTTTTGGACAATCCCTCTCCAATCTCTATACATAATAGTTAGCGAGACACAACACACTTTTACGCATAATCGACATTCAATTATATTTAATAATCCAAACTCTTGTATACAAAAATCCCTCCGACCAATAAAAATATATGCGAATGGAATCTTTTTTGCTTTTACTTTTAAAATCGAGTTTACATGAGAATTAAACAATATATATATATATATATATATATATATATACGAGTAACGATAAAAACGTTTTTATACTAACATTTTCATCACTATAAAAATTAGAAATCCTAATAAAGTTTGTTAACATTGTGATTCGCGCGACTCCACTGTTTATAACTTATAACCACATTTGAAATTTAGTCTCCTTAGATTAATTAATATAGAAATAAATGTACTGATTCGTACTTCGTAATAAATCCCTTCAACCAATACCAAGAAAACCATACACATACACAAACTCTTTTATTTCTTTGTATCTCACACTTACATTTTTATTCATCTGTGTGAAATGAAAGGTTGCTTTAGCTTGTCCGAAGCAATAGAACGAACCTACAAATCCGGTTTCAAAAGATCCGGTCTACGACCCGTTACCATCGATTTGAAAGACGGGACCGTTGTCAACTTCTGGGTATCCAAAACCCAACCCGACTCCAAACCAAAACCCAATCTCCTCCTCATCCACGGCCTCGGAGCCACTGCCATCTGGCAATGGTACGACGTAGCTCGACGACTCTCTCGTCATTTCAACCTCTACATCCCCGACCTCGTCTTCTTCGGCGGTTCCTCCACCACCCGACCCGAAAGATCCGACATTTTCCAGGCCCAAACCCTCATGAGGGCTTTAGAAGCCCAGTCCGTCAAAAAATTCAGCCTCGTGGGTCTTAGCTACGGCGGGTTCGTTGGCTACCGAATGGCGACCATGTTCGGAGACGCCGTGGAGAGGGTGGTGATATGCTGCGCCGCCGTTTGCGTGGAGGAGAAAGACATGAAAGCCGGCGTTTTCAAGGTGTCGGATCTTGATGAAGCCTCGAAGATTCTTGTGCCGGAATCAGTGAAGAAGCTCAGGGAGCTTATGGGTTACATCTTTTACAGACCGGCGTTGGCGAGACTGGTTCCTACTTGTCTCCTCCATGATTTCATCGAACATGTGAGCTACTTTCTTCTTTTTTCTAACTTGTTTATTCGAATCATGTCACGCCACGTGCTATATGTCTGAAAGAACCTGGAAAAATCTAAGGAAGTGGGGGAGGGGGGGAATATAGTTTTTTAAAAATAGTACCTGGAATACGATTTCAACTTTTAAAGATTCTAAAACTTTTTTCTTTTTTAACCAAGATAATGTACTTAATTGTCAACTTGGAGTTCTAGATCAAACTGGTCTGGTTGGTCTTTTCTGAAATTTATATATCAACATAATTCCAATTTTAGATCCTATAACTGCGAAACGAGTAAGGTTTTTTCCATATAATATTTCTAGTAAAATGTAATTAGTGCAAACAATGTGAAACGAAACAGGCAATGACTCGAGATAATATGGAAGAGAAGAGAGAGATGATCAAAGCGATACCAAAAGACAGAATAATCTCAGAGATTCCAAAGCTCACACAGGTTCTGTCCTCTTCCTCTCAAGTTTTGTCGTAATAATCTTCACTGTTGTATAAAATGCAATTAACTAACGATCTTTTAAATGATTGGATTAATTGTACTGCAGCCAACATTGATAATATGGGGAGAGCATGATCAAGTGTTCCCATTGGATATGGGGAAGAGGCTTAAGAAGCATATAGGAGATAATGGGAGACTCGAAATCATAAAAAACACTGGCCATATTTTCAACTTTGAGAAACCCAAAATATTTATCAAACATCTCAAATCTTTTCTCCTAGAGACTAAACCACAGATTCCCGTCTCTAATGAAAATGTTTGAAGCTTTCGTCATCTCTGGTTTTGATTACCATCTCACGTATTTTGAAAGTTTTAACAATATATATATTCTTGTCAATTATTTGTATCAATATATGCTTATGTCCAAATATTTGACTTTGTTTTCCAGAAGATCATTCCCGTCCATAACATACACAAATAACGCAATCAAGCTTATCATCATTCATAATCAGTCCTAACGCGGAACACGATTTACTCGAAACTAAAATTAACCACCCGAATCTTTTTATAAAAGATTTTAAGTCCAAATCATCAGTACTGATTATAAACATTGGTTGGTTAAATGGGACACTGAGAGCTATGTACCACGAACTTGCCAAAAATTTAGGATGCTCCTGGAAATTCCAATGACCCATCAAAGCGACATTTAAGTTGGTCTAGACCAAAAATTTTGTAAATATGTTAAGATTGTGTACCAAAGAGAGAGATAATCTGCAAAGAAGGAAGAACTCCTCTGCAAATTATAAAAATCCCTCTCATAATGGCAGATTGATATGTGCCTCCAGAACAAAGCTAACAAGAATGGATCTTGCTGCTGAAAGAAGAGGCATCTTTCTCTTCAAGATACTACCACACTAATGAAAACAGAACAAAAAGAACACTAACTACCCAAAACCATTTGAAAAAAAATAAACGAGAACGCTTCGGCTTTGAGAACCAATCAAGGACATGATTTTGTGAACAAGGAAGAACATTGGTATATATACAGGCCGCCTCCAGTTTCCTCGCTTCAGAAGCCCTAATCTCCCTTTAGGTCTAACGTTTTATGGGCCTTTTCAATGAAGCCCGGAAAAAATTGTAAGCCTGCTGAAATATGAATGGGCTTTTACTTTAATCCCCATACAGCTGTAACCCTGCTCATATATAAATGGGCCTTTCAATGAAGCCCATCCAAATTGTAAGCCAGCTGATATATGAATTGGCCTTTTCAATAAAGCTCAGAAAAATTGTAAGTCTGCTATTACATGAACGGGCCTATTCAATAAAGCCCATAAAATTGTAAGCCTGCTGTATGAATGCATTTCTGAATGAATGATTGTTTATTTTCTGTTAGTATAAGGATGAAAGAGAGAGAGAATAAACTGCTATTCATGTTTCCAAGAACAAATTGAAACAAATTTTAAAATCGTCTCCTATCTCTGTTGATGTATTAGGTTTGTCAAACAAACTAGTATAATAGCCCTATTAAATAACTCCTATCCTTGAAAAGGCACACGTAACCCAAGAACTAGATCCAACTGAACTGGACTCTAAAGAATCATATAAGTGAATCAAAGCAAGCTCCAGACGCAATATAAGCTTCAGTCTTGGGTTGAGTTATCATCTAAATCGGATAACAATGCAAGATATGTCATCCTTACTGTTTCTTTTCAATGCTTCGGGTATTAGTTGCTTTGCTGCTTCCTTTGGATCTCTCAACTTCTTAGTTATATCAACAGCTTCTTGGTTTGACATCACCTGTTCAATAAGTTTCAACAAATGTTATTCTATTCCCATTAATCAACTTGAGCAACATTATTTGTCTTTACTCAATGTCCAGACTAATAAACAAGTAATATTTTAACCGCCATTTTACCTTAGAAATACCGTCGCTAGCCAGAATAAGGAAATCTGTGTGACTGTCAATGGTAACATCCTTAATGTCTGGTTCTGCGTTCAGATATGGTTTGAGGTTTTTGTCTCCAAAGACACGAGACACAGCTAGTAAACCGTTCACTCGAGGAACATCTCCTGTTCAATTAAAAAGCATCAGAACCACCCTTATATAAACAATGATAAGATGAATAAAAGCAGTTGTTGAACAAACCTGGCCTGTTGGTTACAAATCCACCTTTACTCTCAATCATACAATATCCATGGAATTTTCTAAACATACAATATCCATGGAATTTTCTAAAATTTTAAACCTTATTACACATATTCCAATTTTTTAATATTTTGATCAATTCTATAATTGGAGCTCTTTTGCGATTTATCTTGAACAAAGTTATTCATTTTTCTATCACATTACACATATGACAAATTTCGTGTTAATTTATTACAATTCTGGAATACACGAATTATAAATGGTCAACGGTTAGCTGACTCATAGACAGACTTAAAGACTTTACTTTTGTTCCCGTATCTAGTTATGGGCCATAAATGGATAAAGCCCATGTGAATCATACTCATAAAAAGCTCGCATGTCCATTAGGGTACTAAAGTCGTCAGCAACCAAGACACATCTTCGTCTTCCTCGTTGCGAGAGAGCGAGAGAGCGAGAGAAGATGAGATTGATAGTGCACAACATGTTGTCTTGCAACATTAGAGGAGTGGTTAACAAGTTTCCTCTCCGTATCGAACCTGAGAAGGTAATCGTGAAAGAGGTCGATTTCAACCCGGATTTTCTCAAGCACATGATCGCCAAGATTGATTGGAAGGCTCTCGTGGACGGTGCACGTTCTATGGGATACCCCGAACTTCCCGATCACCCACCAACGACGCTTGAATCTGACGAATCCTTTCTCAGGAAATTTCACCACTCCTTACTCGAGCTTAACCTAGAGGAAGGCTCACTTGTCTGCCCAGAAACCGGTAGGAAGTTTTCGGTTAACAAAGGAATACCCAATATGCTTCTCCACGAGGACGAGGTTTAAATTAAGCATTGTGTTATAGACTGATTCATCTTTCATTACGTGTTATGGGTGATTTCTTTTAAGCTTTAGTACACTTCCAAAATCTTAATCTTGAAAACTTGTCATTCTACTTTAAGTACTATCTTCATACATTCGTAGACAAAATAACTTATTGAAGCCGAAGGCAATACCTGGAGACATGAAACAGAACATATCAAGCTTTTGGCAAAATAGACACAGATTGAGTTTAGTAATGGAAGAACTAATATGCAAACCTGGAGCAAGCTAGGTAAAAGACCAGCGTATAAAGCTGGGATCCCTCCTCTCTCAATGATATTGAATCCCATAGCTATAGCATTGAGCTTGTTTTTACCCATCTGCATCTGAAGCTGTCGTCTCACTACTTCAAACGGGTAAGTGGCTACTTCAGTACAGGCACCAGCAATAGCACCGTACATGAGAGTTCTGATGGGTCCTAACTCTAGCCGGTCTAGAGCATTGATTTCTTGTCCCTGCTGCTTCATATCTTTCAGCCTTTTCCGGCCTTCTGGTGTATGCAGATAGGATGATTTAAGAATGTCGTAAACGCCATAAAAAACTGCACCTGACAGAGCCATGCTTGCTATGGAAGGGACTAGACCCTTGTAGAGTGACAACAACCCTTCGTTTTGGATCATATACCGGAAAGCCCCTGCGATTCCGCCCAAGGTTTCTCCACCACGAGCAACTAGTTTGGTTCGTATCTGTGAGAGTAGATAAACACATTTCAGTCAAAATGGTTCCACATGTTTGTATTTGTCCTGTCAAAAACTGACACCAGATTTCTGTCACTCTGAAGCATAGAGCTTTCTCAAATTTTAATAGTTAGGGGAAGTACCCATTTCTGTCAAAAATGGTTCCACATGTTCTTCTCTCTCCGTTGAAAACTAAAGGCTACTAAGCTAGACTTAAAATGCCACTTTTCTAAAGCAGAGAAAATTCTTCATAATTAAAATGGTTTAAAGAGTAAGGAGGACCTACAGTGTCGAGTGGCAAGCAGAGTACAGTGGCAGTAATCCCAGCAGCAGCTCCGGCAACGAATCTTTCAAAGTTGGTTGCTTCTTGATTCCCAGCGATTCTAAGCAATTGCTTCCTATACGTATCGTAGGCACAAAAATTGACGGCTTTGAAAGGAGCGGTCCTCAATACATTGAGCAAATTACCTTTCCAGAATCCTGTCAAACCCTGCGTGGTCGCAATTGACTTAGCCACCACCAACAAATTCCTTTGTTCACCCCGAACTGTATATTCAAGCTTTAGTCTCTCAAGTGGCGCTAAGAATGTTCTGCCATCATTGGCAACAAAAAGAAGAACAAAAAAAAATGCAACATTAATACCAATACTAAAATTAAAGTCGAGATCATGGTTTTGGTTCAGGCATTTTATCAAACAACTTATATGCGCTCTAATCAACAACATATACTTTGAAACCATTGCAGCTACAGCACCAGCCCAGAGATGCTTCCTTGTGTTCATAGTCCCGCGTCTCCTCACTCCACCGATAACACTTGGCTTTCCATTGTCCTTCCCGGGAATTTCCGACAGAGCATTCTTAAACTGCTCCTCAGATCTGTCTTTGCTCAAGCTCACGGACAAGAACACCACGTTCTTACCGGAGCGGAGATGGGCTTTGTTTTTCGAGTAACTGGGAAAATGTAAGGGCTCTGAGTCGGAGCATTTGGAAGAGATCGAGTTGAAGAAGGAAGAGGAAACCCCTGGTGGCTCGAGAAACAAACCACCGGTGCTGAAGAAAGCTTCATCGGATAGATCGCTGAAAGAAGAAGAAGGATCGTGAGGATAGATATGGAGTCCTGACATTTGGATAACGAAGAAGCAAGTAAATTAGACTTTGTAGTTTGTAGTCATGAATTTGGAAATCGGCCTCCCAATTGTGGGTAGTTGGACCGCTGGAACCGTTTTTGGGCCTTGAATAATTTATTTAATTTCTTAAGGCTCCAAACGTTAAAGTAAAGTAAAGAAAGTAATTAGATATCCCTAATGCTGAAGAGGAAAAGGTATATGCTGACAGAATCTTCTGATTGTAATCATCTGATTCTGATTTCGGGTTGAAACTGTTGTCGATAACCAACTTTTTACTGGATGCACCTTTTTTTTGTCGATAACATGCTTATGATTGAATTATCACGCAACAACAGTAACACAAATCACTATATTTAACAAACAACAGTCACACAAATCACTATATTTAGACCAACATTATAGGCAGGTTTTAAGGGGGATTTAAGGGTTTTAATCAAAATAAATAAATCAAAAAACATTAATATTGCTAAGATACGTATGTTGGAGAAGATACATTTGGTAGGCTAAGAGACGCCACGTGGCGCAATCGGATTGGGTAAGTTTTTTTTTTTTTTTTTTGTGACATTACAATTTTTTTTTTTTTTTTAAATCATTTATTATGACATTACTAAATTACCTTTATATGTGTATAAAACTTTATATACTTTTCATAAATAGCGTAAAAATAAATTATAAAAACCTTATAAAAACCTTATAAAAACCGTAAAAACCCTTTTAAAAACCCTTTAAAAACCTTATAAAACTTATAAAAATGATTTAAAACTATTTAAAACATTTAAAAATATTTGTATCGAATCTCCCAGTAGTAGTTATTATATAGAAGTACCTTATAAACTATATAAAACTTTATAATTTTTATATTTAAAAAGGGTATTTTTGAAAATGGATAGATAAATGGGATATTTTTAAAAAGAGGTACACCAAAAGGGGTATTTCTAAAATATTATATGATTTAGAACCTTGAGACTGCAAAATCAAATCAAATCACTAACTGTTGACCATTAAGGAAGGAGGTTCATGCTTCTCTGGTATAGTTATCTCCGGGCTCCAACATTAAACCTGATGTTTCTGAATTCTAACCCTTCTTAATTATAGGTTTATGAGCAGAAGATGCAGAAATCTGAATCAAAGTCCCCTTTTCTTAGGCTTTTCTGTTTGGAAGTTTATCACTCACCAGAGTTTAACTAGCAAACAAGCTGATAAAACTTCATGATATCAGGGAGTTCAACTCACAAGCACCATGAGGAACTGAGACCAACTCAGATTCAAGCTGAAACTTAATTGAAAGAGTTACCAACAGTCATAATATTTTTGATAGCTCGACAAAGCTGCATGTTCCTGAGGCACTCACTATTCTGAAGGAACACACAAGAAATAGCGAGTTCAATCTCAAAGCCAAGCACGATGAGCACTGAGATAAGCTCAGAATCAGGCTGAAATTGAATTCAAAAGAGGTATGAACGGACAACAGTAGTTATCTAGCTTGATTGCAATATGAAGCATGGTGTTCAGTTAAAAACAATCATGAAGATGATTGCAAGAAGAATTCAGATCTCCAGAGGTCAAAAGTTAAGTGTTTAGACCTCTGGAGATATAAAAACTTAACTATCCGATTCTTATGTTGATGACATGAATTGATCCCTAGGCATTTGAGTAAACACCGAGTACAATCAAGCAACTCCTAGATAAAAAAATGTTTTACCTAACTCTAAGATCTCAGCTACACTATTAAAATGTTGGATCAGGCTCTTTAAAATCCTTATAGATTCCAACACAGACGTAGGTGATTTGGTTGAAATTTTGTTTTAGCAATTACAGATAATAAGCAACTGAGGTCTGATAAAGCGAGGATGATCCCATTTACATAAGAAACTGTTTCTGTTGAAACTGGAAATAGCTAAAGCTGATGATTCTAAGGGAGGGATCAAGTAGATCTGAGGAAGAAGACGAGGAAGAAAGTGGAAAGCAACAGTACCAGAACGACGTGAAGAAGCAGCTCCATTAAACCGCAAAGCTTAATCCGGTTCGTCTTATTCTTCTCCATGGCAAGCTTTCTCTTCAGATTCTCTATTTCTCTGCGCAACTCTCCTTCTTCCTGCTTCTGAACAAACCAACAGAGATGAGGATTTTCACATGGCAATTTCGTAATTACGCCGTATCGATTGTAGTAGTCAAAAATCGATTCAAATCGGAAAGAAGGATTTAACCTCGCCGGCGGAACCGATTGTGCGGGACGATGCGAGTGAATAGAGAAGCATCGTAGCTCTGGCGCAGCGAATCGCAACTCGATCTCGAGAAAATTCGTCTTTGCTTGTCATCGTCTCTCTCACTCCGTCTCTCTCTGCCTCTTTCTGTTTCTGGTTTTAAGTATTTACTCCTTTTTTTTTTAATAAACCCGCGACTTGACAGGTGTCGCTATATAACTAGTGGAGACTACCTGAAAAATGAAAATTTCCCACTTTAACACTTTCTTTCCCTCCAAAGGTCTCTATTTTTTTTAAAAAAAAACCGTAAAAAAAAAAAGCTCTGCAAAAATCTTATCGGAATTACCAATGGGTAACTTTGCGTCTGTCGCGATTGTTGTCGCCGGTTAAGCATCTCTCGGTTCTCATGGTAAGCTACCGATTTGTTTCTTTTCATTAAAATGTGTTGATCCTAGTTAATTATGTGTAGAGCACACACTCAGTAACTTAGTTTTTGATCAATGATTTAACAATTGTCAAACAACAGATTACTATGAGTTTTAAAGTCTTAGAGCTTCCATATTATAATAGCTACCAACGGATTTGCTGTTAATAATCAATGCTGGTTTGTGTTTTCTGCATTGGTACATCCTCGAAACCTTATTAAATTAGTAATCTATATTTGTCTAATGTTATCTTTTTCAGGTTGCATCTTGGCATTGTTCCCTCTACAAGGTTTTATATCTTTTTGCTGGAGCTTCTCTGGTTCACCGGTCTTTGTGGTTTTATTCCCTCACCTGAATCTCCCTGTTTTATCAGTATTAGCTTTATATGCTCTGTTTCAGCTTTTTAAGTAAAACACACAGTCTATCATCTTCTATTACAAAGACTTGTCAATAGTACAAAATTAAAGAGCATCGTGGCCTGCTGCTGCTACTGAATTATTACTTGTTTCAAAATTAACCTTTTTTACCTGCAAATCTCTTATTGATCGATAGTGACTATTTATCCTCAGAACTCAAACTCGGGTATATCTTACCTTGAATAAAGCTATCCATTAATGTTTTAGTGATATATATAGTTCTGATAACGTGTGTTTATTCCCAAGTACAATTCAGTGCAAATACTAATAGGCTAGAGAGATCTAAAGCATGATCGTTCATAGAAGCATATAATATATTCCTTCCGTACTTGTAGAGTATATATACATAACTTAGTCCATATCTAGTTCATATTCTTCCGTACAAATATCATAGATTTAATAACCCTGAAAGAGTCTAGCATAGGAGCCTAAGCAAATTTGATGGTTCAAATAGTTTTGTAGCGCTGTGATCTTGTGGGTGCATGAACTTGCAGTTGGGACAAACTGGATTTGATGTGCATAGCATAACCAGCATGTGGCATTTCATGCAAACTGTTGTTACCATCTCTTGCTCCTTGTGATCTACATCATCATCATCACCGCCTTCAAATGCAAGCCAGGACGGAGATCGGCTTAATCCTGTCCCAGTTATGCTCATCTTACTCGAGCTTGTCAGACTTTTACCGTTGGGAGACACTGTTTCATTGTGATTGGAAGATTTATCTCTCTTCGTTGTGGTTCTTGAAGGTGATCCCGAAGGTGAAAGGTTCAGCTCAAGGTCTAGGCTCATCTTAGGTCGTCCAACAATCACCGGATCTTTGGAATATGTCTTATGATCTTCAGATGTTCGTGAATCTTCCTGAAAATATGAGTAATTATGTTTTAGATGCATGTTTATCTGAATATTTTCACGCATAGATGTATATTTTATATTGAGAAAAATATAAGAGTAAATGATTATATACCTTAGCTTGCCAATCTGAAGGTAGAGGATTGTAGAGATGAAGTTCAAAATCAAAGGTAACTGAGTTTGGTCGTTCATTGAACAGAGTGCTCTGTGAATGATCTTCTTGCTTGCTCTTCTTGAATGAATTGAGCAACTCTTCTCCATAGATTGTGAAATCCCTCTTTCTAGAATAGAGGGTTCCTTCTTGTCGAGAAACCATTATTAGCCTCAGTCTTGGGTTACACGGAGTGGTTTATTATGCTTTTAAAGAAAAGTTTTTAAGCTCTTTGATCCTGCGAGGCAATGAGCAGATAGATAAGACTTAAAAGTGTATGAGAAGATCATCACTATATATATACTTGTAGGAAAATGTCCAGGGGAGTTATTGTCTCCACCGGTTCATATGGAGTAATTGAATTAGATACCATACAATAAATAAAAAATGGTTTGATAATTTAGATATATAATTCTTTTTTTTTTGTGGAAGAATAAAAATAAAGAGAGGGGAAGTAATGTGAAACATGATGTGTGAGTTCCAAGTTGGGTGTCTTCAATAACTCCAAACAGTCTCATTTAAATGCTAAGATGTGAAGTGCTAACCAACTTCTCTTTATGTTTTCGCTTTCTCCTCTACCATCATCATCATCATATATATATACTAGAAAGTTGCCCACGCGATGCGTGGGTTATATATGCAATATTAATTTGAAATATAAATTGAAAACTACATTTGTATAGTTTAATATGTAATTGTTAATATAGAACATATTTGTGTACATTATAAACAGTAAAAATAAATAAAATATATATTTGAAAAATATGAAACCGAATGAGATCAATACAAAGTAATACAGATTAGCACATATATAATATAGTAGGCAATTGTAAATTGATGTTAACTTTTTTTTGTGTGTACATTGTTAATATTAAAAGTAAACAAAACTCACATAATTTATGAGTATTGGTTTATCTCCCTAGTTTTTATCATTAGCTAGAAGTAAATTGAATTTTTAAAAAGATCAAGTTAAACTTTCCAAAATATCAATTTAAAATATTTCACCTGAGATATATGTTTTTTTTAAGACCTTATTTAGAAAAGCTTTTTCAATTTAGAAAATATTTCACCTGAGATATAAGAGCTTTTAAACAATAATTATATA